ATTCTGTTTTTGAATATTGTTTGTATTTGTATTTATTGTAGAGTAAAATACTGTTAAAATTAAAGGGGCTATTTTTAAGTTTTCTTTCTCTCTCGCTCTCAAATGTGGTTCCTTGCCGGGAGCAAGTGGTGGTGATTGTCACTTGACAAGGACTTCGGCCATTGTTGTCTTTACAATATAAGAGGTTATAATACGTCCTCTGAGCAGCACTACATCTTCAGGGCAGAATGGAGGCTGCAGTGACTCGCTATTGGAAAGTGACGATACAGGGCAGAGCTAGCTTGGTTCTTCAGTAGAAGAAAAGACACGATAAAGACAACAGTTAACACTCGTGTTGCTTTCCACCTCTGGAGACAGCTCTTGGTGAGTAAAAGAATGAAGTTTGAGATGTAAGTAAACAGCTCCTAATGCTAACGTTGGCTATGTAGCGATAGCAAAACTTAAAAAGTTACAAATGAGTTCCTTTTTAGTATTCGACTGGAAAATAAAGCTCTCCTTTTGAATCTTTTATGAAAGCAGTGATGGAGAGCAGCAGCATCAGGGCGTACCTATGGAGAACGTAACAGTAACACCTAATGATGTTATACAATCTAATACAACACCAGTGTAAGAAATGTGACCATAGTGAAGCTAATGCTGCTGAATTTTGTTGTTTTGTTGTTCAGTGTTCTCTCACGTGTAAGTTAATTTTTCCCTTCTCTGTTCTGTTCCTTCACTTCAGTCACTCACGCTGCAGCTCTCCAGTTGAGGTCATTATGTTGCTCCTATATACGTGGTGAATGAGGACAGGACAGTTCTCATAACTGAAATATCAGTTCACCCTCATTAACATTTAACACTCTGACAGGATGAAGTGTGCTCATACATGGTGAAGTACAAGTGAGGGCATGTACACACACACACGCACACACACACACACACACACACACACACACACACACACACACACACACACACACACACACACACACACACACAAACACACACCTTTGAGTTATGCTCTCATGCATGTAATGGTCTTGTCTCAGCTCACAGCTTGTGCTCTGTCCATCTATCACACACAGGCTGCATTAATGAAAGAGAGCGTGCATTTGTTGTGCCTGTCAGTGGAGAGGCTTCCTGTGGAGCCACACAGATAAAGAGAGACTCCATCCACTCCTCTTCCAGCTTCTTTCCTTACCTCACCTTTTCACACCTGGCATTAATATCCGCCTCGGATGATCCGATCACAAGGAAACAGCTCTAAGCACGTCAGTTCACACTTGGCATTAAAATGCGTCTCCATATGCTTCTCAAATGATGACTTGTGATTGGATCTCAATTCTACACAAATAAACACAAATATCATTTCTATTTGCAAAGACCAAACGTGCAGTTGTCTTTAACCAGTGGGAGGCAGCAGTACACTTCCCAGTTGCCAAGTCTCCTGGAAATTAAAGAGGAAGAAGGAGAAATCAAACCAATACAGACTGAGTCTGTTCCTCCACTTCTAATATATCTCTATGGGCTTTCTGAAATCTTTAGACGTCGAGGACAAAACAACCTTATGTGATTGGTGTGTAAATGAGTACGTACTCATTTCAGTTGAGTAGGCGGTCCCAGGACACATACTGCTAAAACAGGGGTCTCCTCATGTCTTATATATTATATATACATATCATATCAAAACACATTAAAATTGATCTCCAAGCCAAATCAGATGAATAAGATAATTTAACAAGCCATTTAAATATCAACATCCAAAACTCACATTTTGTACCAAAAACTGAAACTCACATCAGACATGACAACAGCATTAATGTTTGTTTCAAAAACCTGCGTCATGATTCAGTCAAACCTGAACACACAGACATGATAACGCCATCACAAACAAACGGCCATAAACCCGCTAAGAAATCACAGAAAAAGAAGCTCCTTCTTGATAGTTGTTGGTACATGGTACATAACAAACAGGAACTTAAAATAACTCATTCGGTAAACTTAATTTTCCTAAATGTAAACAAGCATGGGCTAAAAAAAAAAAAGAAATGAATCCATGGCAACACATTTCTGGTTTGTTGGAAAAGTTGAGTTTACATCTGTCATGTTATCCAGAAGCGTTGCTTTAACTGCATGTCGTCCACAGCTGATCTCATTTAAACAAACTTGACAGCGTAACTCATTTGACTGACAACTGACTAATAGCTATCTGGTATTGAAGAGGGTATTAGATTTAGTTGCATTTGGAGCAGATTTACTGAGTGAAGCCGTGTTGCTTAAGGTTTGAACTATATTGTACTCACTATATTCTCTGAACCTCTTAAAACAGGGGGTGAGCTTCTGTTGGCTTGAGAGCCACCTGTTGGAGCCCCCTGTGCTAAAAGCGGCCCAGACCGCCTCTGAATGTGGTCTGAGTGATCGGATCTCAATCGTCCTCAACGCGTCCTGGGTGCATTCACCTGACGTACGTTAATGCCAAGTCTGAACAGGGCCTCAGTCATTCAGTTCAGTTAACATCTAATTGGGCTGCTCTTCATCTCCTAGGAAACTATAATGTTATGGACTAAACTGACTTGAACAAATTATTAGCACTACTAAAGTGAGTAGCCCCTGTCACAAGGCTACAACAGAAATGGTGAAGAGCGTTGCCACAGTGCTCGCTCCTCTCCTGCCCCTGGGCGTCTTTTCAGGCCTGTGTCATCATCACGGGCTCTAACTATAAAAATGTATTCCAATTACATGGAGGCATTTTGTTGCGGTGATGGAGAGTGGCAGTAAATGTCAGCAGAGAGACTGCTGGCTGCAGCTTCCACACACTCACTGCTGATTTATCTGCACAATTGGCTCTGAAGATAATCCTTATCACTGTGACGAGGCACTTAGTCCAATCATGAACATGTTATGGTATGCCTCCATGGTGCTATCTGATCACACGCTCATATTGTGTGAAATGTACTGTAAATTCAAGTGTCTGCGAGGGGGAAAGCAACATCACATCAGCATCTCAGTGGCATTTAAACCCCTCTGAAGGCTGTGATGTCTGCCACACCGTGACAGAATCCACAAGCAAGTGAAGTTTAACATGGCAGGTAAAGGATAACTCTGGAGGATAACTGACGTACTCAGACCCCTTAACCTGACGCAGCAGATGGTTTGTTGTCACAGAACCATCTGGGAAGTCAGAGATACCTGCAGAGTGAGGACAGAGAGAGACAGAGAGAGAGGAGAAGCACAAACTACGAGAGAGAGAAAATACAAAGTTAATGACATGGAGTAGTTATATATGATATAAATGCATGGGGAGGGTGAGAGAGAGAGAGGGGGAGAAAGAGAGAGAGAGCTCTGCATCGTGGGAGTACCCACAGCAGTCTAAGCTCACAGCAGCATAACGGTTTAAGGCTCACCTGAGCCAGCCCTAACTATGAGCTTTATCAAAGAGGACAGTCTGAAGGCTGATCTTAAATGTAGAGAGGGTGTCAGGGAGCTGGATCCACAGGAGATGAGCCTGACAGCTGAAGGCTCTGCCTCTCATAAGAAACTCTAGGAACCATAAGTAGACCTGCATTAAGAGAGTGGGAGTGTTCTAGGGGGATAATAGGGAACTATGAGCTCTTTAAGATACGATGGTGTCTGACCATTAATGGCTTTGTAGGTGAGGAGGAGGATTTTGAATTCTATTCTAGATTTTATAGGAAGGCAATGCAGAGAAGCTAACGCAGCAGAGATGTGATCTCTTTTCCTTGTTACTGTCAGGACTCGTGCTGCAGCGTTTTTAATCATTCATATTTGTTTTCATTTTCATTCATTACCACTTATCCTCATAGAGCTGCCTTTCAGTTAGTTATTGGGACATCCTGACAATAAAGAATTAAATCAGTCCAGGCTAGAAGCAACAAATGCATGGACTAGATTGTCAGTGTCCTTTTGAGCCAGGATGTTTCTAATTTTCACATTGTTGAGCATGTGGAAGAAGACTGTACTTGATTACTGCTCTGCCCTGTGATTGGTGGAGGTTATATCTGCAGCCTGAGAGGCAGACTTGCAGTTCTTACTCAGGTTCAAAATCCTCTGCATGTTTTTCTGGTAAAAAATGATTTAATATATGTTAATGTTTATTGTTTCAATCAATCAAAAGATAAAGCATTAAAGGACAGGACTTCTTTAAGTTTTCTTTTTTTCTAGCGCTATTAATTTAAAAAGCCTGATACGCAGTTCCATTATAACATCATATTTGCTAGACTGATATAAATATGTTAAAACAGAAAATAGAATTTACATATTTGAAGTTGTTTTTTTTTTTTTCCTTAAGAGCCTCTGACTTCAAACCTACACTGTTGGGGTTAATGAATATGAAACGCTCTCAAAATCCCATAAATGTTTTGTTATCAGGCTGTTGCTGAAGTGCAGCAGCCTCTCATTGTTCCTCTTTGCCTCAGGAAGTCGACCTCGCCTGACTGTGAAAAATAGTTTATTGAGAGGCTTCCTTCCCAGACAAATCTTATTCCTGGCGTGCTCTCTCGGTGCTGGGCGTGTGCCACGGCCCTCCAGTGATTTTCTTGTTTGGGTGTCTATGAAACACTAACCAGAGGCCTGATGGGTGGGACTGTGGAGCCGTGGAGCTCCCTCACAATACTGAAACAGATCCAATTTCTGCTCAATTAGGGATGTGAGGCAGTCACAAATAAACACAGCCGCGTAGTTCCAAGCTTTCCAACTTCAACAGAACATCATGTGTGGCTCAAATTTAACAAGTATTTTACATTTGTGCCTGAAGCCAGCTGTGCTGAGCGGAGCAATGACGGGCAGAGTAGTAAACCGTGATCTCTCCGCCTGGTTTATGTGAAGATTCATCCAGATGTTTAAAGAGCCTGTGGCAGATAAGACAGCTCAAGTCCAGCCCGAGGACACTGAGATGAATAGACTGCACCAATTATCACAATGATGTCCTCTATTTTTGTTTTTTGCATAAATACATAAAACATTCCAAAAACCATTTAATAAAACATATACTTTATTTTCTTGGTGCAAGTCAGTCATTGCACTAGTCACTTCATTTTCACCCCATTGTCATTTCACTTCAAAATTCATTCACAATCAACATCAATGTCAACAAAACCACAACAAGCAACCAAATGGCAATCTTCAGAGGTTATGGTACGCGTGAAGCCACAAGTTTCAACTCCTCACACTGACACTCACACTGAGCTTATTATACTTGCAGAAGGTTCGCGTACTGTAGCTAGTTCTGGGCACGGAGGTCAGATGAACGTGGAATAGTTTCTGTCTGTTAGGAATCATTTTTCAATAAGTCATATAATCTGAGATCTATACAGATTTTTACTTTTTGTTATATTCACTGATGAGCCGACAGAGAGTGGGATCAGTGTTAATCTTGTGCCAAACCATTCCCTTCTGGTGCAACACGGTGATCCAAACTCAAAAGTCCCTTACTTAGTTTTCTGAGCTTTCAGTCTTCTTCATCGAGTGCAGCCAGCTCAGGTGTTAGTTGTGGTCTTCAGTCACATGACTTCATGAGTCTGATGACTTCTATAGTTTTTCTCATCATGATCGTCCATATTGTAATTTTGCTATGTTGGTCTATTCTTTACAGGTTCCATGGAGCGCGGCTGTCGTACGCTGTAAAGATCATAAATTGACTTGGCCTGACAAACTGAAAGAAAGACCTACGGCTTAACTTTGACGTCACATGGACTTTAGTCTTTTGAATCAATCCAAAAAAAGCAGCCAATCATGTCGAAGAGTGAGAGGGAAAGGAACATTTCTCGGTGTCGACGACGGCCGACGGACAACAGATGATACGTCAGATCGTCACACTCAGACATTAACACATTCAGATAAGCACGATTCTCATTGTTAGGCGGTGGTACTGACGGCAGGTTTTATCATCTGCAACTAAAGTAATATGACCGACGTTACCTGCCAACTGTGTGATTAATGTGTCCTCTGTGTCTGCGTTCAGCTAAAGACGGTTTGTGAGGTAAAAAAAAAAAAAAAAGCACCAAGTGGAAATGACCAGTGTTCTACAGTGAAACAATAATAGGCCTTGTGTAGGAGCAGTTTCCTACTCTCATTCTAAACCTCTCTTATTTTTCCATGTCTTGTTTGTGTGGGTCTTCCAAGTGTTTCAAGTCAGATCCACAAACTCTCTAAGCCCCATGAAAACCATCTGTTCGTGCGGAGCTGCTGTTTTGTGAGATTTGATCATTAGCTTAATCGACGTCCCTTAATTGCTACACAAGGCTACCTTTTTTCTGCTCCACTTGTGGGCCAAGTTTCATTCACAGAAATGTTACCAGAGCTTAAAGTCCTGCCTATGATCTTATCACAGCTCTGCTCACTGGTGTCAGCTGTGAATATCCTCCTTAATCTTCCTTCTGCCGTCCACTGACTCCTGGTGGTGCTGACTGACAGCTTGTTATCATGTGACTGATGTTCCTTTCTCCAGTCACATAATGACACCTGAGCCAGCTCCGTTGAAGAAGACCTTGACCTTGTGGTTGAAAGCTCTGAAAAACTGGCGAACCTTTGAGCTCAGAATATTTTGTTACACATACTATTCACAAAGGTGAAGAATGAACTGCTCATTCCCTTCATGGTAACATTTTGCACACACGTTCACAGCACTAATGTAAATACATGAATAATTCTCATAGGCAGAGCAGAGGACTCAGTTATAATCTGTGATTAGTTTCATAAAGGAAATGACTCTCTGGAACCTAAATAATAAATCAACCAAACACAAATGTCTCAAGCAGATATGCATGTTGAAGTAAAGCTGATGCAGACAGGGAATTACATGGAGCTCACAGCGCTCTTCAACCAGCCATTCCTCTCTGTTTACCCCCCAGGAAAGGCTTCTGGACTGTGGCTCGACCAGTCTCCTTGGCTCCGGCACACCGAACACTCTGAAGTCCTGACAAGTTCACCGTCCTCCTTTGTCTTAGTAACCAGGTCCGTTTTATCCAGCAGCCTGGTGACTGGTGTTTGGGCTCCAGAGGTCTGGACGGCGCCCTCCTCCCCTGATCCGTGCCCAGGATGATGCAGCGTCTGTGGGACCGTGGTGGTCTACGCCCCCCCTGTCAGTCTCCTCTCTAGACGGTCCAGCTTGGCCAGGTTTTCTTTCAGGAGTTTGGAACCAGGACTGAGAAGCAGGGCTCGCTGGTAGTACATCCTGGCTGCTGCATAGTCTCCCTGCACACACACACAAACACACACACACACACACACACACACACACACACACACACACACACACACACATTATAATCACATGTGTGTTCAGTCCAGAACTACCTGTGGCTGTTGCTCTGTCAGCAGATTACAGTTTAAGCTGTGTTTAAACTGTACCTGTGGTTTAGTCTAAACCCAGCTGATGTAGAAATCACCTTAATACCACTAGAGGCCGCTGTAACTGAAGTTTATATTAAACCTTTTGTCTAACTGGTGTTTTAGTTCAATAATATATTTCTACAGCTGAGAGCATTTTATCTTTTTATGATTTCTACAAGTTCAACTATCATCATTATTATTGTTATTTTTATCAGTCTTACTTTGATTTGTGGGATAATCATATTATAATCATTATTTTTAGAAGTGCTTTTAAGGTATAGTATAATGTATAGTGTTTCCATGGCGTCAGTTAGTTAGCTGTGGGCTGCAGCTAGCCTATATTTGTTTATATTTTGACATATTGGCACCATTAAAGTAGCTGAATTATCCATTAGCAGCTCCTGCAGTGTAGCCAAGGAAGTTCAGACATCTGTCATTGGATCACTGTGATACTGAAGAAAACCAAAGATGTTTTTTTATTTTTTTTTTTTCAAGAAGCCCAGCATGCACCTGTTCCTTTCACCTCTTGTGAAAGGGACATGACTCCGTAGGGAGGCGCACATCACAGTTTGAAAACCTTTGTTCTACACTGATTCATCATAGCAATCATGCATGGACCACTGCACCAAGAGCAATATGTGCAAGGAGTTCACCCCAGGCTGTATAAGCATAGACTTATTTAAAACAAACTGATCTTGTGTGCATCTAGACCTTACACAATAAAACACACATACACTGTATATTGTTCTAGTGGTGTTTCTAAACTCTAAACCCCTGCAGCTAAGCTAAGCTCGGTGAATGCTAAGCTTCTCCCACCTTCATCTAACACACAATGTGGAAAGATCCTTGTTCGATTGTAAAGCTGAGTAGATCCTGGATATCATGTTTCTGTTAATATTACTCTGATACCCATCAATGAACACATTAATCTCAGTCCTCTCTCTTCCTGTGGAGTGTCTTAATTAAAGATATCTGAAGATATGTTGTTTCTCTAAATGATACGTTTCTGTGGGCTGTTGAAAGGAATCTGCACAGCGTGAAATGAGGTTTAAATCTCCCATCCAACTGAGCTGGTTTGAATTCTGTCTTATGCTGCTGCTTGTCTCCGTGCCAGAAGTCCAACCAGAATATGTTCATGTTCTTGTTTGCCAGCTGTGATGTTTGTCAGGTTGTTAATGTGAAAAATGTTGCACAAGACATTCTGCCCATTGGTATTTTTAACTAAGATGGTGAGTCGAGCACGTTTGCTACCTTGATGTGCTGAATCCCTCCCATGTTCATCCAGGCCTGGGACTGGTCAGGTTTGAGTTCAACAGCCAGCTTGTAGCTCTGGTGGGAGAGAAAAAAAAGACTGTGAATAGACGTGGCCACTGCAGTGAGATCTGAACAGACACTGATAGTGTGAGTGTAATCAGTCTTACAGCAGCTCTGGATTTAATGTAACCTGATTTGGCTGCAGCTACAGACAGCTAAAACACTGACCAGTGAACTGGACTTCAGGCAGCGATGAGTTTATTGAGTCAGTGGACAATGGTAATATGAGCAATGAGCTGCTACATGTTTCCAGGCACTGTTTTACTCAATACTATACAAAAGTGCTTCAAAGTAAGTAGTAAATGGAAAATTATGTTATTTATCATAATAAAAATTCATCAATTCACCATTGACGGGTATAGTTCTGTATAACTTTAATTTAGATATGAAGCATAGTATTGTGTTTTTTTAATCTCCATTGATCCCCTATCACTTTTGGGACTGATTAAAAAAAAAAAATCTTTATTTAAGGGTTGAATAACAAAGATGTTCACAGTTTTGCTGTTGTTACTTGTTGACTCTGAAACGCTCTTCAACAAAGTCTCAGAGAGGCCAAATTAGTGCACATCTTGAAAAGCATTACTTGTAGATTAAACACTTAATTCTACTTTCTAACAAAATGTACTGTCTTCTTTATCTCTTTAATTTTGTTCTTTCATTCTTGTTCTTCCTGTAAAGCTCTTTCCAGTTTCTGTTCTGTTGAACGGTGCTATATAGATCAAGCTTATTTGCTTGCATTATGTGATTTAAAGGGGCTATCTGTAAGTTTTCTCTGTTGCTGAATATGGTTTCTTACTGGGAGTGGGTGGTGGTGATAGCCGCTTGACAAGCATCATTGCTTTTACAAGACAAGAGGTTAGAATACGCCATCTGAGCAGCGCTACGTTTTCAGGGCAGATCGGAAGCTACAGTGACTCGCTATCGGAAAGTGACGAGGGCCGGGGCTAGCTGGTTAACATGCTAACTTTAGTAGAAGAAAAGACGCAATAGAGACAAGAGTTAACATGGGCGTGGCTCTCCATCACTGGAGACTGGAGCTTTTGGTGGATAAAGAAATGAAGTTTGATGCTGAACTAACAACATTTCTTCTAGACTGGTAAGTAAACAGTTATTAAAGCTAACACTAGCTATGTAGTGATAGCAAAACAAACAAGTGTAAATGCTATGAACATCACATTTTTAATTCCATGACGTCAGTTTTTGAGGGCACTATGTAGTATGTATTAAGTAAACATAGTGCACTAGGTCACAAACAGAGACAGATTTTGGACACTTATCCTTGACTTGTGCACATTTAAAGAAGGCTATGGCTTTACCATATTAATGAAATGCAACTTTTAATATTATGGATTAACTTGCTGTCTGTCATGACAGAGTCTGTTCTACTTCAGTGAGCTTCTTCCACAAACATGTCATAGCAAATAAAAGAATTATGGGTAAGTCTGATTTTGATAAATTCATTTTTGATACAGTAATGTATTATTCATTCATTACTTACTGACTTATTCTTGTTATCAGCTGCAGCTGTGTTCACACTGCTGTAACTGTGAAAGTGTTCTTTTGGAAAAGTTATAGAATATGTTCACTCCTTTTTGCAGTGCATTGTGGGAACTCGTAGTGTACTGGAGTGATTTTGGTATGAACAACAGACGATGTTGAAGTTGACCTACTGTAACAGAGGCATGATGACTCACTCACAACTCACTGATACAGTAAATGGAACAGGGCCACGACAGAAAATGGTCTAGATTAGATTGACTCTGATGTTTACTACCTAAACTAAGAAAACATAACATTTGTTTTCTCCCTGTGCTGGAAGAGATTTGCAGCATCTTTTGAGATGTGTTATTTATTTATTTATTTATTTTTTTGCTGGTCACTAAATGAAGGCGAATTCCAGTACATTCCTGGTAAAAACCCAGCAGAGCGGTGATGTACAGAAACACTGCAGAGCTGTTAACACACTGAGCTTCATTAAACTTTATGCTCAACCTTTGTTTTCACTGTTTTCTGGGACACACACCACTGCGTTTATTCACTGACAGTAGCAGCTGGGACTCACTTCTATCTCATTCAGAGAATTTAGTTCAGTGGCCGAGTTGGACCCCCGCAAAATATATCCCGCCTTTAGTGTTAGAGGGTCAAGAGGGTAGAGGTTAGTGCATCTTGGTTCTACTGTTTTGCACCAGGAATATTCAGGTTTTGAACACAAAAGGTGAGCCTGGCTGTTATGAATTCATATTGAATTAAAATAAAGAAAAAAAATATCAGATTGATTTTGCTCAGCTGTGGATTTTTGTGTCTTCACACCTCACACCCCTGCAGTGTTAAAAAAAAAAAAAAAACTCAACATTTTCAGCTCATTTATCTGTGTTTCTTGTGGGCATGGATGAGGGTAGGGCCGTTGTTTCTTCTAACACTTGAGGCAAAACAGACATAAAAGTCCTACGATAAACCAGTTTTAAACCGCACTTCAAACATTTTCTCAGGCTTGCCGCCTCTTCTTTGTTCCCCTCCTTCAGAGACCGTAGAAATAACACACAACATCACACCGTTATCTGTATCGCAACCACGATTCTCTTTGAGGCAGCGCTGACCTGAGATTGCCTCCGCAGCTCTTCCTGTCTTGTTTCCACTCCATCAGAATTGTTCCTCTTTGGTTTGTTTGCTTTCTTTTCTCTTCGGTCGTTTTCTTTCAGGAAGTCAATCAAACCTTCCAGCGCCTTCGAGAAACTTCCCTCACGGATTCAATCAGAGCCACTGGGGCCTCAGACAAGTTATTTACAACGTGTTTGAGTGGTAGCTCTCAGTGGAAGTGAACGGCAGCAGACAGAGGCTGACAGATATCGCAGTAATGAGCTGAATCTGTCCTAGCACACTTTTTTTTATCTTATCAGTCAACTTGTACTTTCAATTACATTTACAAACAGTGTTTTGGAAAAATAACCCAAATCCTGAAAACCCCTGATCCTCTAAAAACTCAGGAGGAAAATGATTGGTGTCAGCAACTTGACCTGGTTTTGTGTATAAAACTTTGAGCTGCTGTTGGATTATTTTCACCTCAGTGGCTGCGTACGGTGCAGAGACCGGCCGAAGTAGCAGTGGCTGTTAAAGGAACTTACAGGGAACTGAGCAGAGGAGGAGGGAGCTACAACCATCTACGGTGGATGCAGTTCTCTCCCCTTACAGCTCATCCTATGGACACACATGGTGATGGTGTCCGTACAAAGGGCTGTTCTGGACTGTTGTCAAGTTTGGCTGGAAAACACAATTTTAATTGACTACTTTAATACTATACTATGTACTACTGCTTACCACTAAGGCAGAGCATTTATTATTTTGGGATGCTGTAGTGTTACATGCTGGGAGCTGTCTGTAACTTATTAGATAGAGAGAGAGAGAGACAGAGAGAGAGAGAAAGAGAGAGAGAGAGAGAGAGAGAGAAAGAGAGAGAGAGAGAGAGAAAGAGAGAGAGAGAGATAGATAGATAGATAGATAGTTAGATACCTTATTTAATTGACCAGCAGCATTTGAACATTGGGGTGTTTTTATCCGTCACTGCTCTACTGGGTCGTCACCATGGATACACTGGATTGCACCATAACACAACAACCAAACAGGAGGCAACAAATCTCACAGGATTGCTGTGAAGTGTCCCATGTACACCTCGAGCACGAAATACAGGGTGTCTCCCCTCTGGTCTGTGGTGTCTCTACATAACTCCAGAGCACAGGGAGTTGACTGTGGTCACTGACTGGAAATGACATCATCACACTGACCTCTGAAAAACGGTACATTTTGGGAGTTGTTGAGCTGCAGCTAATGACACAATTATAGGTCAGCTAATAACAGCTCAGGTTAATTCTGAGTACAAGTTACTGAACCATGCTTCGCAGGTAAAACTGACTGTTGTAAACATTTGCTCATTATTTTTTCAAGGTTTATCGCAGATTATTTAATTAACTGCAAATGTTGCTTGGTGCTGTGACACCTCGGCTCCTTTGAGCAGCAGTGTGAATGGTTTTACACTGAAAAAAAATCCTGTGTTGGCACAGTTGTCAGTCAGGGGAGCTGCCTGTTCACACTGCAGCCATCCACCAATCCATAATACATAATATATAGTATATAATATAATATATAATGTGACTTTTTGCATCAATGCAGCACATCTGGCAGATGTTCAGTCTTCAGTCATCTGCAGGATTTTAATGCTGATGTTATGAATAGAGAGAAAAGAACAGGTACGTCAGTGCTCTTTACTTGTCAACAATCTGAATTTGCCACAGAACAGATTGGGCTGAACAAGTGTCTCCAACTGAAATGGCTCTGTCTATAAGTTAGATCTGTTCCACCTAGAAATGACTGTAACTGTGTAATTGGCTACAGGCCATGTTTGCGAACATTATGAGCGCTGATCAGCCTCCACAGACTATAGAAAATCTATACGTCTAGGAGATGGAAAGAAAGTGGAGGAAAGTCAGTCGGTAAGAGAAGGAGAGGAAGAGAGAGAGAGAGGAAGAGAGAGCAGTACCTCAAAGGCTCTGTCCAGCTGGTTCATCTCTCTGAGCTGGTTTCCTTTGGAGAAATACAGCTCAGCTCTCACTGTCAGATCACTGGGATTCTGCTGCAGGGCCCTGTCCAGAGCATCCAGGGCCTGGCACAGACACACACAGTAAACACACAGAGTCAACACACACTAAAACACACATAAATGAACATCCACGGACAGAAAAAAACCCTTCTCTACAAGTTGGGCGACTTGCTGTTGGAGTAAACTTCCTGGCCTGACTATCAAGAGTCACTGCTGGTTTAGAGCAGGAATCACAGAAGGCTCAGCTAAAAGCCCCGTTCACCACCTGCCACTGTGAACCATGAAGGAGCGAGGGACGGAGGGAGGACAGGAACGAGCCGAGGATGCAGAGGAGAGGGAGTGTGAACTGATTTAGAACAGAAAGGGCGAGGAGGAGGAGGAGGAGGAGGAGGAGGAGAATTTATTCCTGAAACAGCAGCGTCAGCTTCATCACTGCCACACTGACATACAGAGTATGTGAATTTAGACTCTGTTTACTGGTGGATACAGGGAACGGTTTGCTCATCTCGCCTTCTTTCTAAGATGAGATGTTAAGCCTTATGCTAACCTAGCTTAGCAAAACACAGGAAGCAGATGGAAACAGCTAGCCTGTCAAAAATCCACCTACGGACACACCTACAACTATTTTCTTTAGTGTGGTTTTAGTCTTTGATAAAAAGCAAGTATAATTTTTAATCAAGTCCCTTGACTTTCTTTATCTGTAGTCATCGACAACTTTTTAGTCTTTTTTTCATGTATTTTTAGTTTCAAATGTTTTAAGTCAGTGGTTACCATGGTGACAGGTGAAATTCCCGTCTGTGTCGAGGCTGGTGGAAAAGGTACTGTTCACTTGTTCACACACACAGTGCCAGTATCCCTCTGCCTCTGCTAATGCTCCTCAGTAAATCCAGGTATCATTTCCACATTCAGTCTGTTTGAACAGAGCCGCTCTCTCTCTCTCTCTCTCTCTCTCTGTTGTTTCTACTCATGTAGCATTATCACAGCTACGTCTTCGCTCCGCAGAGTAATTCACTAAAACACTGTTCAGTGTCTGGGTTTAGTTGGAGAGGAGACTCTGACAGAGAACAGCGTTGCTTCCTCTAGAGGAAGATTTAGATGGTTTGACAGCTGACATTTCTCCTGGAACCACTTGTTCCTTCCCACAGCAAAACAAGAAGCAGCATGGAAGTAATGTTAACTTTACATCCACATCCACAGCAGCTGATCCTGTTACATTACTCTCCCTTTTAATAAAAGCAGAGCCTGCTGCCTACATGTTTACGTAGTTTGCCTCAGCTGTTTTACTGCTGCTTCTCATTTAATTAGGTCAAAACTCCAGCAACAACATCATTGACAGATCCTGACCCCGATGAAGGCCTCAAGCCAAAACACATTGGACTAACAATAAAGTTGTTCTATAAAACACAAGTTTTGACCTCTTTACACTTTTTCCAGCTGGAGCTGTGACAGAGACCTCCACTCTGCTTCTGGTCTGACTCTCAGTGGATCGTAGATGAATTTTGGTAACGTCAGATAACATCACTGAGATAATGTTACTGATGCAAGAGGCTTCTTATCAACAACTAGTACCTCACTTTCTAAACCTCAACAGAGTTTACCACAATCTTAATAACATTCAATGACCACGTGGGGTACACTGGCGAGTGGCGCGTCCGTCAGGCTGGCCAGGCTTTTTGTACGCTCGTTCCAAATGGCTTCGGCTTGATTGGTGGCTGGAAGAGGGGGGGTGGGGTGGTGGGGAGGGGCTGCAGCTGTTACAGCAGGTCAAACAGCTAAATCCACTTCTGAACAGGGGATCATTTTGTGAAAGACACTAATCAGGAGCAACAGTATGTGTCTTCTCGTGTAAAAAAGGTTGCGAATTAATATTTTTCATCATAGTTTTCATTAATTTCATTAATTAACAAGTGTCTTCTGTCGATGAGCACAGAACATGGTCTCAGTATTTGAACAGGGATCCTTTTTAAACTATAAAAGTATTGTGCAGTCCACTTTAATATCTGTATTTGATTCTAGAGATATTCTGCTCGGTCACGCTGCCCCATCATTACTCCAGCAGCTAAACTCTATAGATCCTTCTGCTTTACAGTTCATCACTATTGCTGTGTTCTCTGAGCACAAGGCTGGAGTGACTTCTTTACAGACATGAAGAAGTAATCATCATGATATTCATCTCTCTACCGTTACAGCCTCTTCACATCTCTTTGAACATTTATAGAATACAGCACAGGATCCAGGGGGGGGGGGGGTCAGATTTAATTTCAAGGGTGTTCGTAAGTGAGCTGCCAGATGTGGTAACTGGTCAGGCAGCTGGAGTATGAGCATACAGGTTTACTGCAGGAGAATAAATTCATATCTCTCTCCACTCCTCTCTGAATTCTCTGTTCTCCTGGTCAACTTTCATTTTCTTTGCACACCTTGTGAAAAACAACCCTAACCCCAGCAATAATGTTCACACGTCATGACTGATAATGAAACTCATCACCATGGTTACTGCTTGAAAGTAACTTAATCTTTACTTGAATATTTCAATTTTATGCTCCAAACTTCTAAAGGTCAGAGGTAAACAAGGCAGTTTTTACTCCACTACATTCAGTACATAATCACAGGTTACATTACAGATAAATAATTCAATTACAGAACATAGGACCCGTTTGTAAAATATGATGTATTGGTGTAGATGGAATGGGCTGGACCGTGATTTTATAGCACTTTTCTAGTCTTATCAACCACTCGAAGCGCTTCACAATTGAAGCCACATTCACACACCGGTGATACATCAGAGGCAATTTAGGATTCAGTATCTTGCCCGAGGACACCTCATAATGCACCTCATAATGCAGACAGGAGAAGTCGGGAATCAAACCACTGGCCTTTCGATTAGTGGACGACCTGCTCTACCTCCTGAGCCACAGCCCACAGCGCAGTTCTAAGTAGCTCCACCCTGAGCGGCCAGTGCTGTTTCCATTATGAATGAATACAACAATACAAGATATAGTTACACTACTTTTACATTGGAATACTTAAAGTTCATTTTGTTGCTAATACTTCTGTGCTTTTATTTTTAAATTATGGTATTTATACATTTACTTAAGTAAAGGGTCTGAATTCTTCCACCACCACTGGTCATGATGATGACATCACTGATGAAGGGTGTGGCTCTGTGACGACACACCATACCTGTATGTGCAGTAATAACTCCATGGGCGCGTTCAATCACAAGAAAATACATCCTTACATAATTTTAGTGACACGTTGATCTGCAGTTTGGGGATGATGCGAGTTACTTAAAACAAAGTGTTTTTATTGGTCCTTGTACTTATATATGTTTATACTTACTCCCTTTCTGCTATGAAAGCAGAGATGAAAACATCCATTAACACTCCACTCCAAAGCTTGTGCTTCGATGTGCTGTACATACAGAGCTGTAAGCAAACTCACTGAATTTATATTTAGTGTGAAACTGGGTCACAGAGAAAGTGAAAGACAGACAGGCACAAGTGTTGATGCTGGTGATAGAACAGAGTGGGAGGATGAGTGGCAGCTGCTCGCCAGCAAATGGCCTCTAGTCTGATGTGAAGCGGAGGTGAATAGTTTCCACGGTAACCGTCTCCTGCTGAGAGTTTATCATTCCCGACTGTGAGTGGGGAACACAGACTGTGCGTTACTTTACCTCTCAGCGACACACGCTAAGGCCATGAGACCGACACACATGTGCGACACACACGCGACCACATGAACGCACCTCTGTGAAGTTGCCACGCTTGCTGTAGATGGCAGACAGGAGGCGGTAACATTCAATACAGCTGCCTTCTCTGGATATGATGTCCAAGGTCATCTTCTCTGCCTCTTTGGTACGACCGGCCATGGCTAAAACCTGAGCCTGGGAAACACATACAGTGTGTATATCAGTGTGTGTGTGTGTGTGTGTGTGTGTGTGTGTGAGACCACACAGATGATGTTTTGGTGAATATCTCACTCAAACACACACATACCGAGACATCCTGGCATTCTATGACTCTGTGACTATATGTATATGTGTGTGTGTGTGTGTGTGTTCACCAGAGCCAGCCAGATGTCGGTGCTCTCTGGCTGAAGGGCGGCGGCCTCTCTGTACACCTGCAGGGCCTCCTCGTAGCGGCCAGTGTTGTAGTACAGTGCTCCAAGCGGTGTCAGGATGTCCACCTTCCTCGTCACCTGCAGCGCCCTGCGGGTAAAGGTCAAGGGTCGTGAGGATGGCTTTCCATGGAGGTGGTTAATATCCATTTGCATGTTCAGCACATACAAGCTCACTCTCTGTCACTCTGTACATGACAAAGGTGCTATATGCTATGACACATCAAGATCAATGCTCAATACTGCATTTCCCGTGAACCCTGTTGCTTCTCATCATAGGACAGGATTTTGAGACTTGAGAAAATAGTTGCACCTTGTTCTGTAAGCAGTCCAGAGGACCTCTTGACCTCTGACCTCTGACCTACCTGATCATATGCAAAGTTGGAACTTGAGTCGTTGGGAGTTCAAACTTGATAAGTTGAACTCAGCAGCTCAACTGCTACCCCAACCAGTAACAGTCTATTTCCAGAGCTTTCAGCCATGCTGATCATGAGATGTAATCAAAAGATACACCTGTTACCCTCAATGTAATATATATTCACAAAATTACATCACGCACTACACTACTATGTTATTTTCCTTATATATACTTCCTTCAGGGTCTGGTTACAGAAAATATAACACCTACTACCATTGATATTCTGAAGACACTCAGCTGTACCTTCCACTCAAACCTAGTGATCCATGTAGTGTTAACTCCCTCCTAAACTGCACCGAGGATGCAAAATCCTGGATGGCAAAAAAGCTTCCTTAAACTAAACCAGAATAAAACTGAGGTCCTAATCTTCAGCCCTGCAGATCACTCTGTAACACCAAGCAATGCCCTCGAGCCTCTGTCACTGACAGAGGGACCTCCATCATGGAAAGGGACTATTTTTAGGTTTTTTCTTTGCTGCTGAACATGGTTTCTTGCTGGGAGCGGGGGGTGGTGATTACTGACTGTGAGTGACTGTTGAGTTTACAAGAAAAGAGGTTAAGAGTTAATACTGGCGTTGCTTTCCACTTCTGGAGGCAGATGTTGGTGAGTAAAGGAATGAAGTCTGATGCTGAACTTGCAACGTTTCTTCTAGACTGGTAAGTAAACAGCTGTTAATGCTAAAGCTCGCTATGTAGCAGTAGCAAAACTTATAAATAGCTCCTTTAAATGCTCTTTTCTTTAAAAATCTCTTTTCTTTAGCATCTCAGTTATCACCATGAAGACTGACATGGCTCTGGCTTTGTATTTTATTTGCTGTTTATGCAGTGCTGTTGTGCTGAATGGGGACAATTCCAGGCATTTAGACCATTGTTGGTGACATGTGAACCTGAACTGGGACAGTATTTTGGCTGTGACTCATCATGTTTTACAAGAACACGAGTGCAACAAGGTCAGACAAGAATGAGGATGCTTCATTCAGTCGCTTTATTCATTATTGTTAAAATATTAAAAGTGGGCTCTTAAATCAGTTGAACCATATTGAATTTGCTCGTAACAGAAAAATCCAACATTTTGGGAAATTCACATCTTTGCTTTTGTCGCCAGCAGTTAGATGTTAAAAATCTGTCAAAACCAATTTCATCTCTGTGCATGCAATACACAAGACGGTTCAAAACGAAACTGATTCTGAAAATCAGTGCTATTAGATTCTGTGTTCTCCATATGGCTGTGATTCACAAATGTAACAGAATATTTTTCCTTCTGTTGATTGAGTCCAGATTCAATAGAAACAAAAATAATAGAGTAACAATAATATCAACCAGTAACCTTTTGTCTTGTCTCTCTGGTCTCTGGAGGTCAGAGGTCATGGTTACGTTCACAAAAGCAGCACTGCAGCAGCAGTGATTCATACTTTTGCTCCAGGCCAAACTGAATAGAACAGTGATACTCATAATAATACTTTTGAGTGATAAAAAAATAAAAAGTAAAATTACATTCATACAGTACACTGCACTATAAGCACACAACCTTTTCATGTATATCTGTGTTTTTATTAAATTCCTAAAACTGATACTGAATTTAAGGGGAGGAAACTTTCACCAATCTGGCAACTGTTATCAGTTCAGCTATTGCAGGGTCTCAGGCAAGCTAACATGAAGTGGCCAAACAATGAAAATTGATACATTTCAAATCAAAGCTGATGAAGAGAAACAAGGGGGTGTGTCAGTGAGCTGATAATCAAAACGAAGACAGGAGGTGATTTCAAAAAATGAAAGGTACAAGATGATCATAAGAAAACATTTTTTATTTGTTTGTTATTTGTTTATCCTCCGTGGATCAAACCATTCCATTTCCAAATCAAAATAGTATAGTTTTTGGTGTTTCATGGTAAAGCGTCTCTCTATCTGCCTGTGTGGCTTCCATGGAAAACACAGCGAAGACCACTGGAACAGAAGGTATTACCTCTTAAACCAATGCTGATGCCAAAACACACTCCTTCACTCACCTCTTGTACCAAGACTCCGCTTCTTTGTTCTCATTGGACGATCGGAGAAGGCGGCCCAGGTTCACCATGGCAACATAGTGCGCTGGTTTGAGTCGAACTGCCTGCTGGTAATGAGCGGCTGCCAGCTCCCCCTCTCCTGGACGAGAGGACGTGGGAAAGAGAGAGGAGAGGAAGACGGAGGAAGGAAATAAAGGAAGGGACAAGAGCGGAAGAGAAATAAGGCAGGAAGTGAGAAGGAATGAGGAAGGAAACAAGAAAAACAAATGAGACAAATGGAAATGAAACCAATTCAATTTATGAGACTACGTTTTCCTAAATGTAATACCTACTACTGATGAGAATTATATAGCTTCTGCTTCCATTAGAATTATAAAGTGATGGAGTACTGTGCTCATCCAGTCTACTCTACTTGAATCAAAAGCCATTCATTGTTGCAGAGGGGGGTGACTGACCCTGATACAGCACTTTATATTCACTTACAGGAGCGCACTGCTGCGTTTTAGACCAGGAACTACAAATTGTGTCGCTGCTGACCATTTTGAAAAACATATCACACATGTTTCCATTGATCTGCCACCCCTGCGGCGGCCATTGGTTGGGTCTTAAACTTCTTTGGGTATGCAGTGTGTAAGTCCATTTGTCTCCATTTACTTTCACTACTGCGGGATGTTGAGTATGTTTCAGCTAATTTCAGTCCAGCCTGAAAATCATCTTGAAACTTGCTTGTAATAAACAATCCATCAGGGTTAACATTTGGTCAACTTTATTTTCTCGCACTCATTTAGCCTCTGCTAAGTGAAACACAGTGGTATTGTAACAGTTTGACTTCTTTGTTTAATTTAACGCTGAGGTGCTTCACAAAATGCAGCCTGACAGAAACCTAAACTAAGGATTGATCAGTTGGTTCCCCTTTTACAATGAGGGCAGTTCAATAAGTAAAAAACAAACTAACAGACTTTGCAAACAAATTTAGATAAATCATACAGTATATCCCATCCAAACAAACAGTTCTTTCAATGTCATGCTGCATGGAAGGTAGAAAACTAATCTTAATACTTAAGGTACACTTGGGAAATAAACATAATGTTATAGTTAGTTTATATCTAATGCGGTAAATCAGTAAAAACCAGGGCAGGCTTTTAAAAACAGGCTCTTTCAGTTTGAAATATAGGCAGTGTTTGAAGGCTTTACTCAGTGTACACCTGTGTATTTCTATGCAGTGGAAGATTATAGTGCTAATGGGAGCCTATGTTTACCCATCATCCCGGGGGCCAGAGAGCTGCTAGCTTCAACTCACCCGTATCCACCAGAAACACTCCATAGTTATTATGCAGGTCGGAGCTGTCAGGACAGTTCTCGATGCCTTTCAGATACACTTCATTGGCTTCAGGAAAGCGCTTCTGTGGGAGAATGCAGATGAAGTGAACACAGGATTAAAAAGAGGGATGAACCAGACCAAGGTTATAGGAGGCTGCACTGTAACAGGTTCCTCTAATGAGAGAGGCCTGCACAGAGATGATCTATCTACAGCTAAAGCTAATAAAAAGCTTAACTCATTGAAGAGCTCAGTGAAATATGGCTCATGTATGTGAGAGTGGAGGCTTTCTGTTCTCTGGATGTTTCACCTGTTCCGCGTAGAGTGACGCCAGACTGGAGTAAGCATCAGCAAAATGTGGACCGAAGCGGATTGAGTCCTTCAGCAGAGCCTCAGCCTCTTTCTCCTTCCCCTGGGACCTGGAACACAGCATCATCATCATCATCATCATCATCATTATCATCATCATCATCATCACCATCATCATCATCATCATCATCATCATCATCATCATCATCATCATCACCATGACTGTCCTCATCGTCATCAACACCACCACCACCACCACCATCATCATCATCATCATCATCATCATCATCACCATCATCATCATCATCAACACCACCACCACCATCATCATCATCATCATCATGACTGTCCTCATCGTCATCAACACCACCACCATCATCATCATCATCATCATCATGACTGTCATCATCGTCATCAACACCATCATCATCATCATCATCATCATCAACACCACCACCATCATCATCATCATCATCATCATCATTATCATCATCATCATCATCACCATCATCATCATCATCATCATCATCATCATCATCATCATCATCATCACCATGACTGTCCTCATCGTCATCAACACCACCACCACCACCACCATCATCATCATCATCATCATCATCATCATCACCATCATCATCATCATCAACACCACCACCACCATCATCATCATCATCATCATGACTGTCCTCATCGTCATCAACACCACCACCATCATCATCATCATCATCATGACTGTCATCATCATCATCATCATCATCATCATCATCATTGTGATTGTTCAGGTGTGTTGTGGCCTGTTAGCAGTTGGTACAGCCATAAGGCTTAGTGGTAGTGCACCTAACAACAAATCATTTTACCAGCACAACCTGCTTCATGACAGTAGCAGCAATATTTGGCAATATTTATCAACATCACTATCGTCATTCTTTGTAGGACCTATATTAATGTACGCTTATTTTCTTCATCATATCCACAATCATCTTAATCATCTTCATCTTCACACTTCCAATCATAACCATAGATTACACACCGGTAGCTTTTCATTTCACTGTCATGCAATTTTACACATAATTTATTCCTGTTGACAAAAGAAACAAACAGCACACATACACACACACAGACACACACACACAGACACACACACACACACAGACACAGACACACACACTTCCTCGATTGTTCTTATAGCTCCAGTGATAAAACAGACTGGTAATGGAGCTGAGCCATAATAATGGACTTTGTTTCGGCTTCATTTATTTATGTAATTTTCTATTAAAGCCGGCAGAGCTGAGGGCGGTCCACATTGTTTGACCGCAAGACAAACAAAGAAAGAAAAAAAACCCCTCCACCACTGTGCACAGAGCTTGTCAGATTACAGCGGCGGTGTCAGGAGTGGGGATAATTGAAGACTTTCATTTAGTGAACGAGGTGAGTGATTGTTTTTCGGGCCCTTAAGTCGCTGACTCCTGTATGACTAATACCACCACATCTTTAGCAGACCCCTTCATTTCCATCTGAGCACTGAGGCTATGTTTCAACATATCTCTCAATTCTGTTTGTGTCCACACTGATACAGTCGTGACTCCGAGGGTCCGCATGAGCACTGCAATGAATCATGGCCGTTAAAGTTTAACTGTGCTTTGCTGGCCGAAAACTAAGTGGGTGAGAATCTCCAGTTTAATCACACGCCTACTCTTCCTGAGGATGTCATTATCTCTGATGTTCATCACAAATAAAAATCCATAAATCTGCTTAAAAGAGACGCTTCAGAACTGAGAATCCTCACACGTTTCCTTCAGCATCGCAGTTATCCAGTGATAGCTCTCTATACATCCACGGCTACACTGCCAATAGGAGCTGATCACAGCTGATTCAGCACAATCTAATTTTAGTGTATGTCAACAAATATACCCCCCAAAAAAAAGAGGACTATATTGGTGTTAGCATGTTTCTAATTAGCAAAGACATCTTTGACCTCCTCCATTTTCACACAAATGTCAAATTTCACACTGGTTTTGTTGTGAGGTAGTCATGCATAGTTGGTACATTGCCTGCAGTAGATCCTGATCAGCGCGCTCTCAGTTAGGAAAGATCCGACCGGGAGCACCAGCAGACTAGCAGAGCGGTGTGTTGCTGTGCATGGGGCCACCGGAAAAAATCTGTTTTAGACACTTTTAGAATATTTAGGATATTTTCAGCCAATTATCTTCCTGTAAAAACAGCACTTTCCCTTGGCACTACATTTTTTCAACCGCTAAACTACCGTATTCCTACGCACAAGTGTATATATTACAACTGCAGGTCAGCTGAGTGAATCACAAAGCGGCATGATACCGTGCGTTCTGTAGGTTTGCTTGTGCGCTTTTCTGGTGGTCCCAGTGCACAGCAACACATCGCTCTGGACGCTACTCACATCGCTCTGGACGCTGCTCAGGATCTAATGCACGTAATGTACTGACTACGCTTGACTGCCTCACACAACCCCGCGTCAAAAAAAACCTGAACTATCCTTTTAAAGATTAAAGAAACCATTAGAACTCAGAGATCCACTTTAAAATGCAGGAAAGTTGCTCAGAGGCGTCAGAGGAGGCAATACAGGCAAATGCTTGGGGCCACCCCAAAGGGGAAAAGGGGCCCAAACCTACACTATACGGTGCCCCCCAGCGTGTAGGATCGCCACTGAAGTTGCTCCGGCCGGGATTCAAATGACAGGCGGACCAGAGAGGTTGCAGGAAAAACAGTAGGTAATAATGGCTGCAATTACTCCTGTGCTGAGGGTGAAAATGACCCACTTAATGACAAAATCACTGACCAGCTCAGATAATGTTAAAACCAGCGCAGCTCCCCTGGAGAAATAAAAGAGGCTTTGGAACTAAACCCCTCAGACTGAGACTTGAGAGTGATTCGAGACGACTCCTACACTGACTCTGAGGAGAAGAGGGAGACACTGCTGCTTTACAACACTCTCAGCCATGAAGTAGAAATTATGATGAGGCGATGTAGTTGTTCTGACAAGTGCGATTTAGATGAGGGTGAACATCGAAAGGCAGACAACAGCACCACAGTTTATGAGTTTAGGTTTTACGTGTACAGGCTAATAACGTAGGTAACTATTTACCAAGGCTGTATATGCAAAATAGCTTAACCTCACAATGCTATTTACAAATAAGACTTTCACACAGCACTAAGCCACTGGCATTAAAATAAATGAGATAAATGAAGGGACATTGTTTTTAGCACTGTTCTCCCCGGCATCACTAGCAAAATCAGTTATAACATTATCCGCTTATTTTCATTAAGAATTCCCCAAACATCTCTCCTTTCATGTAATATCTCTGCCTTTAAAGCCATTTGCTGCACAAGTCCTAACAGGGTAGAAAAGCCTCTGGAGCTCTCCTAAAATATCGGCACAGGTAGGAGTCGTTCCCTGAGTAAGAAGGTGGATAAAATGCTTTTGCTTCAAAACCTAAACATAAAATCAAAAATGCTGAGGATTTATTTCAATGTCAAAGTGAAGAAATTCAATGAAGCGCAGGAGTAACTATGACTCTCTTAAGGTAGCCAAATGCCTCGTCATCTAATTAGTGACGCGCATGAATGGATGAACGAGATTCCCACTTTCTGTGCTCTGAGACACTCGGGTTCCTTTCAGATCAGGTTCGGGGACCTTTAGTAAATATCACAGTCATGTAAAGGGACACAACAGTTTTGATCATCTACAGCAAACTGTGGTAGAAAGAGCAGGAAAAATGTAAGATGTCAAAAACTGTAAAGGGTCAACAGTTGTCCAGTCATGTTACCGTGTCATATCGGACAACGTGAGGTTCCATCAGACCGCAGTGCAGCGGTTCAGGAAATGTTTTCATTGTCAATTTTCCACCATTCCACAATAGAAAGTACAGAGGAGAGTTTCATAAACCAAGATTACTGGATAAACCAGGCTTACTTGAACAAATCAGGATAATCTTTTCTTTAATAAAGCAGGTTTTAGTAAGTTTGACCTAAGCTAGCATGGAAACTTAGCGCTCCAGACTAGAATGGTTCCTGTCAAGCCTTGTTGTCAGGTTCATATTCACCTCATATACATTACTTCCATGGGCCCTGAACCACAGACTGCATGATTAAAACCAGAGAGGAGTTTATCCTGTTGGTTCGGTCTGACCTCCCTTCTAGTCTAAAACATGAAGCCAAAAGTTCTCTTTGGCTTTCTTTTGTTTTATTTTTACATGTAATTCTTCATATTATATGTTATGTAATATGTGCTGTTCACATCAGCTCTGTGTTGGCTTCATGGATTAGCTTAAGTTAGTTTAACTTAGTGAGTTTTTTAGGCTCAATCAAGCCTGGCTTCAAACAATAAGACCTGAGGGATGTTTTAATAAAGGAGGCTCAGAAAAGCTGGACTTGCTGTGAAAAGCCTTTCGTGAACGAGCCTGATGAACTGATATAGGATCAGTCTGTCATGGAGCCAATTTAAAGTAAAGCCTTGTTTATTTCATGTCTTTGAAACACAGACCCGGAGACATCAAGCACGGATCACCTAAATTCCATCCATCAATCCATGAGCTCTAACGCTCATCCCTGAGGGTCGCATTGGGGCTGGAGCCAATCCCAGCTGATATTGGGTGAGAGGCGGGGTTCATCTTGGACAGGTCGCCGGTCTATCACAGTCTATCATGCTCACAATCACACCTACGTGCAATTTAGAGTCGCCTGTTAACCTGCTCGTCTTTGCACTGTGGCAGGAAATCCACTCAGACACAAGGAGAACATGCAAACTGCACACAGAAATTCACAATGGAGAAATCAGACATGGACACAAAACTGGGATCGCCACGGCCTCACAGCAGCAAGAGTCTACACTTATATTACAGAGAATAAACAACACGAAAACCATGAGAACCGCTGCATATAAGAGAAAATCTGGCAGCATGTTGGAGAGCATCCTTCCTGCATGAGTAGTTTGGATTTTCTCTGTATCATAAGTTCTGAAAAGGTGTTGTCTGCCTGTCCCTCTTGTGTTTTCTCACAGTTTTCTGAGTGTCTGATGCTTTAAGTTCATTTCTGTGACATTTAAAGAGACTAAATGTGTTTCTCGCTATGAGACTACAGACATGGGTCCAAGTTGTTCCTTGTAGGTAATCAATACTGCAAGTGTCAAAAAGTGATGAATTTGACATTTGCGACTAACTCCCTCGTGCTCACGGTGCAGAGGTAAAGAGGAACATTCAGGAGGAAGTTTGGGTTCAGTTGTAGTTCAGCCTGAGGCGAAGCAAAACCTGAAAACTGGTCTGACCGGGACCCGGCGAGCTTTCAGGTTTCCACAGTAAGTTAGGTTGGATTCAAACCTCCTTTACGAAATACAACTTCCTGTAAAGTAGCTTGAATTACTGAAATATCTGCTTTGTTATAAACACCCCTCAGGTCTCCTTTACAGAGCAAGACAGAATGTTCTGGTGTTCCAAAGGCAATGAAAGGAGTCAGTGAAGTTCTCATCGTTTTCTTTGGTTTAAAACCAGAGGTAATGGAGATATGATTGAATGATTAAAGATGTTTTTTTTTTTCTCTTGGTTTGCTCATAATTAGGAGCTCAGGGAAAAAAATATTTTTTTTTTTTAGCAACACGTAAGAAGTTACTGCTGGATCATTAAGACGTCTCCAGCTGTGAGGGTCCCTAATAGTTTTAGGAGCTCTTTGGAAAGTTAAGAAATTCAAACTTCCTTTAAACTAGAAACTGTTCAAAAACTGCCAGCACAACATTATCAAAGTCTCCAGCTGTGCTGAGCGTCCTCAGTTTCTGTCATATTTCACAAATTGATGGTCAGGGTTTCTGCGTGTGTGTGTGTGTGTGTGTGTGTGTGTGTGTGTGTGTGTCTTACTTGAGGAGGTTTCCCAGGTTGAAGAGAGCTCGGTTATGCTGAGGGTTGGTGTCCAGTGCTTTCCTGTAGTAACGCTCAGCCTCCTCTGGGCTGCGTGTCAGAGTGCCGAGGTTGTTCATGGCGCTGGCATGACGGGGATATAACCTGAGAGAGGAGGAGAGAGGAATAGAGGAAATAAGTTTTTTTATAAAAATACAAATACAAAATACAAAAATGCCTAGACCTTGAAAAAATCAAAGAGCCACAGTCAGTAAATCAGTGTATGAAATATGGGAGTCCCTGGGGGGTTCAGACGTGCTCCTCATCGACAACTAGAACCTCCTGAAATTTTTTTTTTTTTTTTTTGCGAGGTCTCAAAAATGAACCTTTATTAACCTTATTATTTAGTATTTATCCGTTTGGGAGCATCTTTTTGCAGGTCACTGTCAATATGTTTGATTCTTTTGAAAATAAGATCATTAAATTAGATTCATTCAAACCATTTACTCCATTTAAATGTAGTTTTCAAAAAGAGCGAATCTTTTTTTTTTTTAGACTCAGACACGTCAGAGTAGTTCCTGTCAGTTGAAACACCCTGTTAAAGGAAAATGTGTTACAAACTTCAAAAGCTCAAATTTGTGAGTGTAACTTAATAGATCAAATACATTAACTAAATAGATTAACTAAACGTGAACTTTAGTCTAGATCCTCACACTTTTAAAACTGTTTAAAAATGCTGATTATAATGCTGGCGAGTCTGTTCTGGAAGTAAACAAACACAATATGTGGCAGTTTATTTGTAATATTGAGATAGAGAGATGCTGTCACTGCACACACAGGTTTCATTAATGTTCTACCATTAAGATTTTCTTCATTTAAGATGCATCAATATAATTTACATTAATAATAGATTTTTAATCCTAGTGATGAGCCCCCAGAGAATTACCAGCAGTTCCTCTCGGCTTTACGGCGTTTTAGCCTCTTTTAGCTGATTGTTCTGGTCTCACCTCCAATAAACCTGTCAACTGCCACTGTACCTGTCCACCACCAGACAGCAGGCGGACACAGCCAGAGACCAGCTGGTGAACACAGTGGAGCATTTAGCAGCTTTAAAAAAAAAAATGCATTGCACAAGACTGGAACATCCTACAACTGCTGAATACACTGACACATCTTTGAATAAACAGACTGTTATTAATGAATGAACTAACTAAAAGCTATTCATGTTCTGATACTATTAAAAGCTCATTTCCATCAGTAAAGCAGGATGATATCTTCAGTGATGAGAAGCTGCCAAACATAAAAAAAGTGCAGATTTTTTTTTATTTAGAACCCACTCTCTTCAATATGTGATGTAATGTGAATTAAACTAAAAATTATATGGTCATGAAAATGATTGACATGACCATGTATCATACACTGGAGAAAAAATAAAAAAATAAAACCTGTTGATTTTTTCTGGCACCAGCTCATGTTATCCTGACCTTTTTAAAATCTTTATTATAAGTGTTTTACTTATCCAATTAGTCTGTGACTCATTCGGGTCATTACTGACATCAAGAGCCTAAGCACTGCTGAAGCAGTCATTGTTGTTTTAATAATGGACGGATCACCCTGGCAGGAAACCTGTCTGGAGCAGACTGTCTGCCGGCTTGCTGCTTCTGGAACGGAGCTTCGCCGTCAGACTGTGTTCATCTGAGGAACCTCCACACTTCCAGATGGAAGCATACCATAACATGATCATGATTGGACTAAGTGCCTTGTCATAGTGATAAGGATTATCTTCAGGGCAAATGGTGCAGATAAATCAGCAGTGAGTGTGTGGAAGCTGCAGCCAGCAGCCTCTCTGCTGACATTTACTGCCACTCTCCATCACCGCTACAAAAGACCTCTGTGTAATTGGAATACATTTTTATAGTTAGAGCCCATGATGGTGACACAGGCCTGACAAGACGCCCGGGGGCAGGAGGGGAGCTTTACTGTTTCTATGGTAACCTTGTGCCACGTGTTAATGGGTTGGCGTTTCACAGCGCAGAAAGAGGAGCAGCTGTGGAAACCAGCAACGATGAATGCTAACTGACTGGTTATCCGGGTCACAAACTTCATTTGTACGGGGGTTACGCTCTAACTACGGTGACGACATGCCTACGCTCCAAAGCTACGCACGTCTTCTCAAAGGTTTAACCACACACCCGGGCTGCGGAGATGTCGGGAACGCAGGAGCTGTGACTGACCGCTGGGGCTTCTGATCATCTCATATTCAACAAGGCGAACATTCCCGCCATGACTCATCTAACAGAGCACATGAAAGAATAACAGAGTAAATAAAGGAGAATGTGTTTCACTTAAACACAATGATGCTGTTTAGTGTTGCCATGTGATATCTAACACTTCAAATCAAAACCTACATTGTAGATATCCACGGTGCGACGTCTGTGAACCCCTTGAATCAAACTTAAATCTGGCTTCACACCTTTGGTTGGGAGTGAACATGATGTGGCATTAGTTTATTACTTGATCATGAATTACCTCTTTTTTTTCTGCAAAACTCATGAAAAGGATTTTATTATCAAGACAACTCAAATTTTGACCTGATGATGGACCTAGATGAAAAGTCAACCATTAACTGTTGGAACATTTTATTTGGGTTGATGAACCCACCAACTGACACTGTCATGCTTACAGCCCCGATGCTGGCCTGGCTAAAGGTCACCAACGTTAGTAACTTCAATCCTCCCTGCAGACAGTGGTAAACTAAACTAAGGAAATGGATGCATCGCCTGTGTCACATCAACTTTAACTTTCTGGTGGAGATTTGAAGAGTCGACTGTTCTGTACATAACTGAGGAGTAAGAAAGATGCTGGGTGCATCCCATTTCCCTTACTTGATCATCCCTTGCTTCTAAATTTAAACTTATTTTTCCTGTCCTCCACCTTGAAGCTCGTACCACAGCTCTTGTTTCTGCTCTGAGGAGCGAGGTTACACCAGACCGTCATGTCCTGAAGTCCGACACACCCCTTTATCAGAGAGCTGTCAGTGATTGGACAGTGAAGCTAATCAGACTGATCTGAAACCGGATCACAACATCACTGTGGTTTTACACCGAAGAAGACAGACATTAATGTATTTAATAGATTCAAGTGTATTATGCTCAAACTTTAGATTTGTTTAGTGTTTTAACTTGTTTTGTTCTTTGGAATTAGAACTTTTTCTCTGCCTGATCTGTTATTTCCCTTTTAATCTGTATCATGGATAATATATTCAGAAAGAGGAGGAGTCTGAAGTCTTCCACAAATAATCACATTTTACTTACTATGTAGTTTAATGTGAGATATATTTACTTAATTTCCACTTTCCCTAGAACTTCTGGGCTGATAAATCACTTCTACCAATGATGACACTTTCTAATCCTGAACATAAATCCAGACATTTTGACGCAAGTAATGAATAAATTAAAAAAACATGCTGCTGTCAGGAGAAATGTTTCATGTGCATTTAGAGTCTGAGCAGTGAAATTCATTTACACACTGTGGTTCGACTGATCTGTCCACAGTATAAATAAAGAACGCAAGTTTTTAATAAATGTGCTGTTTCACAAACACGTGATGTTTGTCAGACACAGCTGTGCTGCTGGTGGTGGTGGTAACTACACACCCTTCTTATATTGGGGACAGCACACACTGTATATGGGCAATTCCAAACCATTAAAAGTTGTGATATGACTGATGAGGCTCAGGACAGCTGATCCAGCTGTGCTGCCATCATTAAAAATGGATGTTGCTTCAGATGATGGTTCAGAGATGATTTCTCCCATCTCTCCTTGTGTCTTTAGCAGGAGGGACTAAGATGCAAGGAAAGGACACGAGGGAGGGAAACATGAAGGCAATTAAGAGAATTGGGATGTACAGCAGAGTACTGACTGTGGCACACACACATAAAATCACATTAAATAAAAATAGAAGACATAATGAATAAATTAAGAACGGAGAGTCACTCTTGATGATACGTCAAGTCTGAAACTGACACGTTAAACAAACTTCCAAAGTTTGTGACTTTCACAAACTGTGAGGGACTCAAAGGGATTTCTGTCCCTCTCACTGCCTTGCTTGGAAAATTAGACTAGGTCAAAACCATAGACTGTAAATACAGATGGACATAGCCTCTGTGACGTCACCTATAGGTTTCTGAGGAGCGGTTTTGAAGCTCAGAATGGGCTGCTCCACCTTCCCCATCTTGGCAGCGTCTGACTCTGCCAATATCCCGGCCAATCCAAAAATGGTCAAAGAGGAGGGGCGTGTGTGGAGCTGGTTTGTGGCAAGCGTACACTCTCCCGGCTGTTACTCAAAGCTGCTGGCTTAAAAATTGTAAACCCTAATAAAATTTAAACAGGTCGGCCGCAAGTGGCTATTATAGGAACTGCAGTTTTTGGATCCTCTGTGTTGGCTTCATTTTTCAGGCCCCAGAGTTTGCTGCTTGGTCACAACCTAGTATATGGCTGGACTGTGTATCGTACACATAAGGACATAGTTGAAAACTTTTTGTGGAATCACTGTAAACAACTACTTTCAATGGACAGTAGTTAAAGCTGCAGGAAAAGTCACTAAATGTCACTAGATGTTATAACATGCCAGTTAGCATAATCATGATGTCACTGTGTCGTGTTTGGATTGTGCCTTCACTTCCAAGCTGCTGCTCTGCTGTGGCTAAAATCCTGATTTTATAACCATGAAGTCATCTGACAAAAATCACCAGAAACATAAATTAAAGACAAAGACTGTGCTGTAATTTACTTGTACAAAGATCACTTAGAGAGAAAGTTAGCAGCTCATTCGTGCCTATGGCAGCTGCTGTGTGCTCAGCAAAGAGAAGACAGCCCGACCTCGCTTACGTGGGGCAAAAGTGGCGACTCTGTTCTACGGAAGCTAAAGTTTGTCCCTAAAAGTTGCTAGATTTGTTGCTAGGTGCTGAAAAGTCAGTAAATCTAGTGACAAAGGCACTAAGTTGGCAACACTGCCTATAAACACCCCCCTGATGATGTAATGGAAAGCAGCCAATGGGGAAACTCCAACACTTGGCCAGCCGACCAATGTAACAAGCCAATGACAATGCTGTAACTTGATCAGTCAGTCAGTCAGTCAGTCAGTCAGTCAGTCAGTCAGTCACA